TTTTTGCAGTTAACATGAAACTCTACATAGAAGATCCCCAAAACTCCACTAAAAAACTGCTAGATTTAATAATGAAATTCAGTAGCACAGCTGGATATGAAGTCAACACTCAAAAATCAATAGCCTTGGGGGTGGAGAGATAGCTCCACAGTCTAAGCACCTGCCTGGTAAGCACAGGGACCCATATTCAATCCCTGGTACCACATACAATGCAGGCCCCAGAACTCTGGGCATGCCGTGCTGGCCACCTAAACTGGACATGGTGGTACATGCCTGTCATCCCAGAGCTGGGGAAGCTGAGACAGGAGGATCACTACAAGTCTGAGCTGCATAGTGAGACCCTGTACCAAATAAATAAAGGATTTTTTACAACATCAATAGCCTTCCTGTACATGAATGACACACTCCCCAAGAGAGCAATTAGGGAAACACCTTTCACCTAGTGGTGAATAAGCACATGACATATATGGAACAACTTATTGGGTGACTGAATCACTTTTTTTTTTTTTTTTTTTTTTTTTTGAGACAGGGTCATTTTATGTAGGTCAGGCTGGTCCTGAACTTACTATGTAGCCCAGGTTAGCCTTGAACTCACAGCGATCCTGCTTCAGCCTCCTGACTGCTGGGTTTGCAGGCATGTGCCATGACACCAAACTAGAATCACTTTTTAAAAGCTGACAGTAGTGAGTGTTTATGAGAATCAGAGAAACCGCAACTCCCTCATTGCTAGCAGGAGTGCAATGTGTGACAGCCCCTGTGAGGCGCAGCTTGGCAGTGTTTGCCCCCCAAGTCCTTCACCTTTTCTCAGCACTGGTACTGAGCCTAGATCTTACACTCTGAGCTCAGCCCTTTTCACATTTTATTTTATGACAGTTTTGCTAAGTCTGTAAGTTCCCCAAAGGGCTCATGCTTTCAGTTCTCCCACTTCACTCTCAGAGTGCTGGGACAGTTTGGCAGGCTTTTTAAATAAAGATAAACACACACTTACCATAAGAGCTAGATATTTAACCTAAAGAAATACAAACTTACACTTACATAGATTGCCATACCCAAATGTGATAGAAATCATGTTCATAATCATCAAAGACTAGAAGCCTCCCAAATGGTCTTCAGTGGGTCATAAGAGTATAGTACCTCCATTCAGTAGACTACTACTCAGCAGGAAAGGGAACTGTTGACACACCATGATATGAATGCATTTCAAATGTCTTATGCTGCAAAAGAAGCCAGTCTCAAAAAATCACGTACTATTCCAACCTTTTACATGGTGTTTTGGGAAAGCAAAATAATTATAGAAACATCGGACAGATTAATGACTGCCCTGAGTTAAGAGCAGAGAAAGGATTTTAGGACAGGACAGCATGATGTGTAGAATGATTCTATTGTTATGGTATTTATGAGCTTAGATGTGTCATAATGGAGAGAACAGTCTGCTCTCAAAACCCATGTATCATAAACAGATTTTGTAAGAATAAATTGAGGGAAACCCAAGAATACCCTTCTTTTACCCTCCACCCTCAGCTATAGCCCCTTCCCTCTGTGGCTGTACCTTTAACCATTTCTGATTTTAACTTCTACTAATATGCAATTGTTAGGGTTTATGTCTAGATGTGTCCCCAGGGCCTTGTGTGGCTGTAGGAGGGGCTTTTTGGAGGTGGCTGAATCTAGGGTGTGTGGTGGTGGGATCAAGGATGTGATGCTGGGATTGACTCATGGTGCAATGCTAGGATTAAAGTGTGAGTGCTACCTGCCCTGGATAAAATATGGGGCAGAAAGAGGATCCCTGCTTGTCGTGTGTCGCTTGTTGTTGTTTGTCTTCTGCTGCCTCCTGCCTACTGGGCAGTGCCCCTCTGCCATGCTACCCTGTCTTGGAGCCAGCCCATGACAGACTGAACCTCTACAAACTGAGCTAATTAAACTGTTCCTCCTTTAACTTCGGGCCTTGGGTATCTTGTCTTAGCAAAGAGAAAAGTAAGAGCCGGGGAGATGGCTCAGTGGAATAAGCACTTCCCTGGCAAGCGCAAGGGCCTGAGATCAATCCCTGGTTCCACCAAAAAAAGAAAGAAAAGAAGAAAGAAAATAAAGAGAAAAGTAACTAAGACAACACTAAAACACAGAATAATAGAGATACAGTGTATTACTAGGATGGTACCTATTATTAATACAAATTATAAAGGTATTATATTTACTTTTCATTTTTCTTTCTTCCAATCTGTTCCACACTTATCATGTCTATGTTTCAGTGTTTTCCTTGTACTAAGTTGTGTCTAAAAATAGATCAATAAACAGATCTTTGCACTAAGATCATACAAATGTTATCATATTAATATCATTAAAGTATGATCAGTCTGAAAGAGAAATAATATGAGGATATATTATTTATATACTTTATATCCTTGAAAAAACTATTTTTAGGTTAAAATCTTCTGACTATCGGGCCAACGGGGTAGTTCAGTGGGCTGAACCCCTGCTTTGGCAAGTGCAGGGACCAGGGTTTGGGATTGATTCATGGTGCGATGCTAGGATTAAAGTGTGAGTGCTACCTGCCCTGGATAAAATATGGGGCAGAAAGAGGATTCCCGGTCCCACATGCCACCCCAGCCCCGCCCCTGGGGCGCACTGAACTGTTGAATGAGTCTGGGCGTAGCGGCACGCACCTGTAATCCCAGCACTGAGGAGGCTGAAAACAGGAAGATCACTACAGGTCCGAGCTGCATAGTGAGATCCTGTACCAAACACATAAATGGAAAAAAAATCTTCTGAATATCAAGATGGATTGGACAATCTTATCCTAGCCCATGAATGGTTCATTGCCTGCCACATTGTTGGCTTTGACTTGACCAAGGCCTTTTTGTACTTTTTTTCCCTTGTAACCCAGTGGCCCTTTTTGTTGACAAAAGCGTAAGCCCTCAACCAGTCTCTAAGCCTCCGCCTTCTTAATCATACCACATCCAGGGACTCCTCTTTCCTCAGTGAGATCCACCTCTTCTGTCTGCTCTGTGATCTCGTGGAGTACTTGCTCCATGTCCCCCTCAGCAAGCCACTGCCCTCATCAATCCTGAAGGGAGCAAAGCTTTATTATCTCAGTAATTTCCTAGATTTAAAAAAGAAGAAAATCTAGAAAACAGATGTCAGAAAATAAATAGAACAACTTCAATGATTTCATGAAGTCATTAAAGGAAGCATATACAAATTTTAAGCAAATGGAATCCTTCTAATTATATGAAACTAGTAATTTGCAAGATCTAAATAATTACCTTAAACTGGCCTTTAGATAAAGTGGTAATTCTTCAGGTCAAAAATTAGGTGAGAATTTGATGTTCAGCTTTCTTATGTGTTCTTAAACATTACATATTGCTGCATGTTCATATAATATGTGTACATATTGCTACATATTCATAAATACTGTGTTTTGTAATATCATAGATAATGTTATAAAATGTATTCTTTTAATTCTTAGCCATGTTGCTATATGCTTTCCTTATCCATTCACTTTACCATTGTATAGTATTCCATTGCACGGATATACCACAGTTTACTTATCCATTCTATTATTCAAGAAAATTTAGGTTATTTCTATTTTTCCAAATAATACCACAGTCCTCATTCTTACCTGTTTCTTTGTCCATATATAGGAAGTTTCTCTAGGACAGCAGCCTTTAAACTTTTCATCATCCTTAACAAAAATATTTTGAGGGCTGGTGAGATGGCTCAGTGGTCTAAAGCACCTACTTAGAACAAGCTTAGCAAAGCACAGGACCACGGTTCAATCCCCCAGCACCACATGCCAGCCAGCCCCGCCCCCTGGTGGACTGAGGTGGCCACACACACACACACACACACAAATAAATAAAAAAAATTTTAAAATAATAATAATTACATTCAAAAAAATTTTGAACACTCACCCCAGATGTATGAATATGGTAACCTTTACAAATTACATATAAAAATTGCTGTATCAAAATTAATGTGTCACAAAGCTAATAAACCTTGGTCACATATTTTGTGGGCATACATCATAAATAGTTTTTTACAGAACTTAGACGTGTACTATATCTTGTTCTCTACTTTTGAAGATCTGCTATGAGCCTTCACCCACCTATTAGGTAGGGAAAAAATCAACTGGTCTTCTCTTAGCCCCCCCCATCCCTGAATAGTATAAGAATTTCAGAGGCTTCTCCTACAGTCTAAACCATCTAAGGAGATGATCTCTAATCACCTGCCATTCCTGTTCACCACCTTTGTGGGCCTACAAAGGCAGGAGTCAGCTGATCCCATGCAAGGCATAAGCACAGGACTTGGCAGACAGGAAGCCCTGGCACTAGGACCAGAGCTTGCTGGGTGTCCTCTTTTTCCTGTACTTCAGCAAGAATTTGGTCACTGTCACTCAAGAGCCACACCAGACCCCACCCTAGGAGAGCAGTTTCTTTGGGGGGAGGGGCAGGCACTTGCCAGGCAGGCACTTGTGCCAGTGGGGTGTATCTGACAGCAGTTCTTAAAACTGTCCTGGCAGTCCTCATCAAGGTCCTCTTCTGCCCCTGGCTCCTGGATGTAAAGGAAACAACAGGTTTTGCGCCTTGCCCCTTAAAAGAACCTCTGCCCAGGGTGTCTTCCAGGAATTAGGCAGTTCTGGTCTTAGTCCTTCACCTCTTTAGCACTAAAGTTTAAGGCATGGCTGCCTATTGGATGGGAAAAGGATCAGTATTTATTTCAGTGCCTACTTAATTGTCTCTAAATATCATTGCACTAGTAATGTTTACAGAGTACTCAGGAAGTACCCGACATGTATAAACACTGTTAAACACATTCTTTTAGGGCTGCTGTCATGATTGAGTGAGCAAGGGCAGACCTAGAACTGCTAATTTTCTGCCTTTAGACTTTAGGAATTTTCTGGAAGCATATTTAATTCCCTCAAAAATGTTAGCATGTCAGGCACATGTCCTATAACTAGAATAATTATTCCATAGTTCACTTGTAAAGCAGATGGTTCTCTGTTTCAGATTTGTAAATACTTTTAACAACGCGGTCAATATCACAATGAGCGGGAAAGTTTATGAAGATGTCGCCAGTCATAATGCCAGCGAGTATCAGTTTTTTTCTTCTGGTGTGTAAGTACATTTTCTGGATGCTTTGCTCCAAAACTTAAGGATATCAAGACTTTATCTTAAAAAAAAAATATATATATATATATATATATATATATATATATATACTGAGACTTTCTAATACCAAGACCACTAACCTATTATTCTTTATTCTTTCTCATAATAGAAAAACCTTCTCAATAAGCTCAACAGAGTTTCCACAAGCATGTCCACATGATTTTCAATCTTCTTACCTTGAATTCGGTAGCGCCTACACCTACATGATTGAAAGGCAGGTCAGTGGCCCCGCCCACCCTCCTCCCGCCCTGCGTCCACCCTATCAGAAGTCCTCTCGGTCAGAAACACAAAGGGCACACTCATGATATGACTAGAAGGAAATAGGGTGTCTATTGGGAGTGGCCAAAATTAATTCAATTAATTCACACTAATACTTCAACTTATCATGGATTAAAGTTAAGCACTAAAATAAAAGTTCAGCAAATTGACTTACACTGACAAGGAGTTCATGCTGACCAGTATCAGATGCTTCCTTATAGGCTGTAAATATGGACTTCAAGAACTTACACCTAAAGAGAAAGCAATGTTAAAAAAAAAAAAAAATCTGACTTGCAATCTACTCTAATTTAAAAGGAAAATAGTACTGAATATATTTTCAATCTATCCAAGGCCATCCCTTCACAAGTAGAAAAAGGCAGTGTTGCACGCCTGCATTTAAACTGTGTACCTCCTTGCTAAGTTGTACAGCATAACCCAGGATAAACAGCATGCCTATCTGAACAGTTGCTGTTCTAGAAGCAATCTTGACTTTGATCTCAACGTCCCTTCTTTGCCTCAATGCTCTAGAGTGATGGCTGCCCTGGAATAAAGCATTTTGAAGATATTTCACCCAACACGGTCAACATGGCTCTGCAGATCCCACAGTATTTCCTCCTCACCTGCGGTGAGGTGGTCTTCTCCGTCACGGGACTGGAGTTCTCATATTCTCAGGTTTCTTGCTTATTGTTTTTTACCACCCCTTTCATAACCTCCTGCCTTCAAAAACACTTCTGAGACTTGATTTAAATCTTAAATCACTGTGTATCTTTTTATAAATTCTAGAAAGAATTTGGGGCTTTGAGATTTGAGAAAGCCCATGGGGCCCTTCCTGAATAAGAAAACTACTTAGCTGTGTAAGGGCCTACATCCGTAGGTGTTTGTAGCCCCACCCTCACCATTGCCCTTTGTGTCCTTGGCAGGGGATGTAGCTCAGTGGTAGAGCTCTTGTCTGGAGCATACAAGGTCCAGGGTTCAATCCTCAGCATGAGAGAGAGAGAGAAAGAGAGAGAGAGAGAGAGAGAGAGAGAGAGAGAGAGAGAGAGAGAGAAACAGAGAGATACAGAGACACAGAGACACAGAGACAGAGACAGAGACAGAGAGAACTAAGTAAAAAACCATATTAGTAATTGTCAGTAGGGTGATGGCAATAGATTAAATAGTCAAATGGTACCATCTACTCATAAATGTGCTCATTTCAGATCTGTGTCCTCACTAGAGGTAAGATTCAGTGAAGGTCAGTGTAGCTCCCAGCAAACATATCAAATAAACCTAGCTTTAAGAACAATCTAAAAACATTGCTTTTAAGTACATTTGACAAATGAGGCAAATTCTGTTGATACTTAAGTTATAGCTTACTTTCTGAACTATTGTATCAAAATGTCAATTAAAATCATGGTATCCCACAATTTCTTAGAGATCCAGTGTGTTCAGGGTAGTAT